GGCCACGTGCAACACGTGTGCACGCGGCCCCGTGCAGCATCAGTGCAGTGTGTGCAATGCATGCCAGCCTGCAACATGCAACATGCGTGTACACGGCCCCATGCAGCATCGGGGCAGTGTGTGCAATGCACACAGGTCACATGCAACGTGCGTGCACTACTGTGCATCACACTCTACRCATCACACTACTACATACATACATGTAGCACATACACTGCACGCAAATCTCATACATGCATCCCACATGTCACATGTAACACATATACACACACACGCACAAAGTGCATCACACATGCAGACACCACATGCACAAGCCATGTGCAAACAGAAGCCACGTGCAATGTGTGCACACCCCTCACGCAATGCACAGGCCACAAGCAACACACGTGCATGCACTATGTGCAACGCACACGCACCACGTGCACACATCACATGCAACGCATGCCATACATGCACATGCATGATGCACAATGCACACACACACCACACACAATGCAAGCCATGCATGCACATGCACACATGCACGATGTACAATGCGCACATGCACGCTGGCACACACGTGCGCACTCCACACGCAACGCAAGCCATGCATGCACATGCACGTATGCATGATGCACACATACACGATGCACACACACGTGTACACACCACACGCAACGCAAGCCATGCATGCACATGCACATATGCATGATGCACACATACACGATGCACACACACGTGTACACACCACACGCAACGCAAGCCATGCATGCACGTGCACAYATGCAYGATGCACACATACACGATGCACACACACGTGTACACACCACACGCAACRCAAGCCATGCATGCACRTGCACACATGCACGATGCACAACGCGCACACACCACGTGCACCACGCACGCATGCACCATGCGTCCGAACCACGTGCAATGCACACCGCGGCCGCGCCACGCAGCCCGCGGGGCACACGCAGCCCGTGCATGTCCCATCCCCGTGCCCGTGCCCGCGGGGGGGCGGCCACGTCGGCGCAGCGGGGATGAGTCACGGCGGGGGCGCGGGCGGGGGGCGCGCGGGGGCGGCGCAGCCCGAGGCCGCCGTGGGGGCGGGATGACTCACGGCCCCTCCGAGTCATCGCTGCGGCAGCAGCAGCGCGGGCAGGGGGGACAGGGGACAGGCCGGCCCCCCCGCCGGACCGCCCAGCACCAGCAGGACGCGCGCGCAGCAGCCCCAAGCGCGCAGGTGGCACCGGGGACAGCTCTGCCGCYGCTGCCCCTCGCTCTGTGCGCCCCGCTCTGCCCCCTGCGGAGCCCAGGGCCCCCCCGGGACCGACCTGCTTGTAGGTGACGCCCAGCTCGGCGACGTCGGGGCTGCCGGCGGCGTCGGCTTCGTCGCCGCTGTCGCCCGGCCGCTCGCAGGGCGCCCCGCAGCCCTCGGCCTCCGGCGGCGGCGCCGGCGGCTCGGCGGCCTCCGGCRAGGCCAGGCCCGGGGGGGGTCCTGGGGGGGCGGCGGCGGCGCCCGGCGCCGGCTCCTGCTGCTCCGTCAGCTCCTCCTCGGTCTCCTCGGGGTGGGTGCTGGGCTGCCGCGCCAGCTCCCCGGCCTTGCACAGGAGCTGTGGCAGCGCCGTGGGGCGCTCAGAGCCGCCGCGCCCCACGGGCGCCCCACGGACGTCCTGCACCCCGCGGCCTCCCCATGGCCACCCAGTGCCCCACGGCCTCCCCATGGCCACCCAGTGCCCCACGGCCTCACCATGGCCACTCCACAGCTACCCAGTGCCCCATATTGCCCCACGGCTGCCCCATGCCCATGGCCGCCCCGTGCCCATGGCCACCCCGTGCCAGCCCCATGGCCACCCCATGCTACCCCCTGTCCCACAATCACCCCATGGCCCCCCCGTCCCACAACAGTCCCATTCACGGCCACCCCATGCTACCCCCTATCCCACAATCGCCCCACGGCCACCCCACGGCACGGCCACCCCCACTCAGGGCCGCGCGTGCCCACCTTGCCCAGCTGTCCCTGCTGCTGCTTCTCGAGGAGATGGTGCTGCAGGGCGCCGGGGGGCAGCGCCTGGGGGCTCTGGGGCAGCGGCGACGACTGCGTGCGGCTCAGGGGCCGGTGGCGCGGCAGCTTGGCCACGGCCCGCGCGCCCGCCGCGCGCTCCCCCGTCACCAGCGGCGACTGCCCGTGCAGGGGCACTGCGGGGGCAGCGGCGTGAGCGCGGCCGCCCGCACGCCGGGGCCCCAGTGTCCCATGTGAGCCGCTGGGCAGCCCGGACCCCCGTGTCCCACACGAGCCGCAGGGCCTCCAAGACCCCCAGTGCCCCACATGAGTGGCAAGGTCCCCCGGATCCCCAGTGCCCCACACGAGCGCCAGGGCCACCCGGACCCCCATGTCCCACACAAGCGACAGGGCCACCAGGACCCCTGTGTCCCACATGAGCAGCAGGGCCACCCAGACCCCCATGTCCCACACGAGCGCCAGGGCCACCCGGACCCCCAGTGTCTTATGTGAGCAGCAGGGCCCCCCGGACCTCCAGTGTCCCACGCAAGCCGCAGGGCCACCTGGACTCCCGGAATCCCACATTAGCAGCAGGGCCACCCGGATCCCCCGTGTCCCACGTGAGCGGCAGGGCCTCCAAGACCCCCAGTGTCCCACATCAGCAGCAGGGCCACCCAAACGCTGSGACYCSCWGTGTCCCACACGAGCAGCMGGGCTCCCCAGACCCCCAGTGTCCCACACGAGCAGCCGGGCTACCCAGACCCCCAGTGTCCCACATGAGCACCAGGGCCCCCGGACCCCTGGAATCCCACATTAGCAGCAGGGCCGCCCGGACCCGCCGTGCCCCACGCGAGCGGCAGGGCCGCGCGGACCGGCAGCATCGCGGGGCGCTCACCGGCGATGAGGGTGCTCTGCTGGCGCGCCTGCTCCAGCAGCAGCACGTGCTGCAGCAGGGACGCGGGGCCGGGCGCCGGCGCGTCGCCCTCCAGGGCCACCCCCAGCAGGCAGCCCGGGATGGACGAGGTGCTCAGGAACTTGCCGCTGAGCGCGGCGCCGGGGCGCAGCGTGGCCACCGCCGGCCGCTCCGCCTCCGACGGCACCTTGGGGGACGCCTGCGGTGACGGGGTGGGGGTGTCAGACCGCGTGGGGTGGCCTCGGACCCTCAGGATGTCACCCGGGTCCTTGGGATACCCCCTGCACGGCACAGGGGCTGCACGGCAGGGAATACGGGTGGCTGTGGCACCCCCAGGGACAACAGCTCCCCGGGCCACCTCTGCTGGGTGCAGGGTCCCCATGCCATGTCTGAGGGAATTGGGGTCCCCAAGCCACCCCTAGGAGACACCACCTGGTCCCCATGCCATGCCCATGGAGTGCAGGGTCCCCACGCCACCCGCAGGGACACCAGGGCCCTGTGCCACCTTTGTYGGGTGCAGGGTCCCCATGTCACCCCCCGGAGACACCACCTGGGGTGCTGGGTCCCCAGCGCAGCCCCCTGTCATCATCRGTCCCCATGCCACCCCCATGGGATATGGGGTCCCCAAGCCAATCCCATGGGGAGCTGTGTCCCCAGCCCAGCCCCAGGGGACACCAGGTCCCCCCCAGAGCACGGGGGCCCTGGTGACGGTGTGTGGCACCRCGTCACCCCGCTCCGTGGCGCAGGGCCCCCGCGGCCACACTCACGTTGAGGTGGGAGTTGGTCACGGTGACGGTGGCCTGCAGCCCCAGGGAGATGTTGGGCAGGGACGGGGACGTGTAGAGGCTGAGCTGGCTGGCGCCGTCCAGGGTGAGGACTCGGTGCTGGGGCAGCAGCTGCTGTGGGGACACGAGGCGCGTGGTKGGGGGGGGGGAATGGTGCAGACCCCCCCCAGCACCGCTGCAGTCCTGAGCACCCCCCCGCCGCGGCGCCGGCTGATTGGGATGCGAGGCAGAGGCGGCTCTGCGGCACCGGAGCCGGCTCAAGGTGACACCGGCGCGCGCGGCCGACGGCACCGCGAGCGGGCTGCGCGCTCGGCACCGCGCGCCCCGAACCCATGTGTGCCCGGGGGCCGAGCGTGCACAGCGCGTGCAGGCTGCAAGCGTGCACACGGGCTCCGTGCAAGCTGCAAGCGTGCACGGTGCGTGCAAACAGCGATCACGTGCATGCATGGTACATGCAAGCACACATGCACCCATGGGCTCCRTGCAAGCTGCAAGAGCGCACATGGGCTCTGTGCAAGCTGTAAGTGTGCACGGTCTGTGCAAACAGTGAGCATGTGCATGCATGGTACATGCAAGCTGTGAACATGCACACATGGGCTCTGTGCAAGCTGCAAGCGTGCACACGGGCTCCATGCAAGCTGTAAGCGTGCACGGTGCATGCAAACAACGAGCATGTGCATGCATGGTACATGCAAGCTGTGAACATGCACACATGGGCTCCGTGCAAGCTGCAAGCGTGCACACGGGCTCCGTGCAAGCTGTAAACATGCATGATGCGTGCAAACAGCGAGCATGTGCATGCATGGTACACGCAAGCACACATGCACACATGGGCTCCATGCAAGTTGCACGCGTGCGCGTAGGCTCCATGCAAGCTGTAAGTGTGCACGGTGCATGCAAACAGCGAGCATGTGCATGCATGGTACACGCAAGCACACATGCACACATGGGCTCCATGCAAGTTGCACGCGTGCGCGTAGGCTCCATGCAAGCTGTAAGTGTGCACGGTGCATGCAAACAGCGAGCATGTGCATGCATGATATATGCAAGCACACATGCACACATGGGCTCCATGCAAACTGCAAGCATGCATGAACGCACACCATGCAAAGCACAAACACGCCGCACCTGAGCAACCTACAAGCATGCACGAATGCATGCCATGCAAAGCACAAACATGCTGCACCCGAGCAAGCTGCAAGCATGCATGAACACACATCATGCAAAGCACAAACATGCTGCATCCACGCAAGCTGCAAGCGTGCACAAACACACAGCATGCAAAGCACAAACAGGCCGCATGCACACAAGCTGCAAGCGTGCCCACGCGCGCTCCACACGCGCTGCAAGCACACGCAGCACACACACGCTGCCAGCGCGCCCCTGCAACCCCACGCCGCGCCGTCGCCGGCCCCTACCTCGGCGTGGATGTTGGGGACGGAGCCGGTGAGGCCGTTCTCAGCGATGGCGCTGTTGGAGCTGTTGGGCGAGCTGGGCCCCGAGCCCGGCGCGCTGTTGCACACCGAGGACACTGCGGGACGCGYGGGCGTCACGGCCGTGCCCGGCTCYCCGCGGCGCCGCGCACGCGCCGGCGCTCACCTGTGATCTCGATGGCTCTTTTCTTGAAGGTGCTGATGACGGTGCCGTCCTTCCTCCGCAGCAGGGGACTGCTCCGGCGCTCGGCCACCTTCTGTTTTAACCGCGAGCGCACTTTCAGGTTGGGCTCGGAGGCTGCGGCACCGGGAGGGCACGAGAAGCGGCGTTAGCCCCGGCGCGGGGCCCCGGGGCGCCCGCGGGCTGAGCCCCGCGCAACTCGTCTCACCCACCGGTCTTGCGCAGCGGGAAGTCGTCCCTGCTGTCGTAGGTGCCCAGGACGGGGAGCTTGTAGGACGGCGGCGTCCCCGGGCTGCCGCTCTGGGGAGGGGAACTCTGGTCCAACGAGGTATGATGAGCCCTGCGGGCGACGGCGTTAGCCCGGACGCCTGGGCCCCTCTCTGCTTTTTTTGCGGGGGGGGATGCTGGGGGACTCACCAACATTTGGGGTGCTGGGGGAGGGAATGGTTGAGGGTGCCAGCAGGCGGCTCCTTCGTCTTGCTCAGCAGGAACTCCTGCAGCTTCAGCTTCACCTCGGTGCTGGCGATGGCGCCTGGYGGCAGCAGGGACGGGAGCATGGGGGCACGCGCCGCTCCCCACGGCCGCCCCCTAAATCTGCGCTGCCCCCCCACACAACCCACGTGCACCCCCAGCCCCTGCCCTGGGCCCTTTATCCCCCTGGTGTCACATCCATCCCCTATCCCCGCCTCCAGCCCCTTATATCTGC